GCCAAATGTTTTACTGGTTGTAATATTAAGGATATGATTTATGCTAGGGAGCCAAAGCTAAATAGCTGTATAAAGTAATTGCAGAGAATTGAAAAGAGTGTGCTTGCCCCAGGTAGTGTGTCATTTATCACAATGCCCCAGGGAAGTGCTTACCCAAAATAGAAGTTGTTTAGGTTTGTGGGGTAGTTATGTTAAGTATTTATGTTAGTGCTGGAAAACACATACTTCTAGATAATTGCAGACTTTGTATTCTTTGCATACATTATTTCTCTTTTCTTTCCCAGTGGCCATATTAACTAAGGGCAGATTACTAGATCTCCTTTTACTTCCTTGATTTCTGGCACATGTGACTAGACGTGTGACTAGGACATGTGACCAAAAATGCCTTTCCATGAGATCTCGTGATATTACAGGTGAGATTTGCCAGCAATGCTCTGTAGATGACAAGGCAATGCCAGTGTGCATTGCTTTGGCAAACTGAAGTAATTTTGCATTTTCAAAGCAGGAAGTGAATGCTCTGCAAGTGTATGTATTTCAAAATCACAGCATTTTACACCTGATATGTCTATGTTATTATTAATCATCATACATAGAGCGATGCATTGGTAGAATTTGATTTTTGAGTGTAAAGGTCCGCTTTATTTTTCCTTTATAGTCATTTACCATCGGGTGGAGGAGTTACTTTTCTCTAAGTGGAAATTCACTTTTTTCCCTTTCACTTCAGAGCTGTATACTGGCATGCAGTAATAACCACACTCCTCATTATAAGTATCCTCTCACAGACTTGCAGAGGGGGTGTGTCTGATCTATCATTTTTCCACTTCCTGTAATAGGGTAGCATAGTTGTTGGCTCTGCAGCGGATTTGCAAGGCAGTGTTGTCACCTTGTGGACAGAGTAGTCTTAGATGGACATGTATCTACTTAAAAAGTGTCAGTGGGAGGCGGGCTTTAATTTATTTATCTTTTACTTAAATTATATTGAAAAACAACATGTCCATCAAGGACTACTCTGTCCACAAGGTAACACTGCTATGCGAATCTGCCGCAGAGCAAACAGCATTGTCATCTTGTGGACAGAGTAATCATAGATGGACATGTAGCTTTTAAATGGAATTTAAGCAAATTATAAATACATTAAAGCCCACTCACACTAATACTTTTTAAGAAGATACAGCAACAGATTTTTTTTTTCTGAGTTTGCACTATGTGAATAAAAGCTGAATGTTGTATGTACTACAATAGTTTGTTCCAAGCCATGTAACTGAAACATTTGCTGGATAGCTTGGCATATTAAAGGAAATTAAATGTAATATGGGTTGTTCTTACCCTGTACCTGCTACATTTGTTGAGCAACTTGGCTTGTTACAGGAAGTAGAAAAATAAAGGATCTACTGGAAGGATCAACAGGTAATATAAATATGTTACAGGGGGGCTGCTCTGCTAATGATATTGACAAACTGCATCATATATGACACTTTTGATTTTTCCCATAGTTACTCTTTAAGGTAAAGTGAATGAACCTCCTGACTTCATCACTGTTGCACTGCTTGCAAATAACATTGATATAAAATCACTACATACTGCTCCAATAAATAAATGTTTTTTTTCATTTGGCTAGAGTAGTGAAATGGTTAAACCTGTCGAGATGTTTTTTTTCCCTTTTTGCTGTCTTGTGTCCCATTGTGGAGAATTTCCTTCATTTTCTGTCTTGAAACAATTCTCTCTTAATCTTTTTAAATCTCTTTAGTGAAATGCCCCCCTTGTCAATGTTCCTGTCACTGGAACAAGTGTCCCCATTGGAAGATTTCCTGTCTCAGTGACTGGCAATTTTAGATTTTCACTCACTTTCTGTTCCAGGAAAAAACAGCGAGGGTGAGCCAATAAAAAACTGATAGCAATTAAAATCTGACAGAGATTGTAATCTTTCCCTGCTATCCAAAGCGAAAAAAATGTTGTCTTTAGAATAATATATACACTATACTGCCAAAAGTATTGGGACACCCCTCCAAATCATTGGATTCAGGTGTTCCAATCACCTCCATGGCCACAGGTGTATAAAATCAAGCACCTAGACATGCAGACTGCTTCTACAAACATTTGTGAAAGAATCGGTCGCTCTTAGGAGCTCAGTGAATTCAATCATGGTATCGTGATAGGTTGCCACCTGTGCAATAAGTCCATCCGTGAAATTTCCTTGCTACTAAATATTCTACGGTCACCTGTTAGTGGTATTATAACAAAGTGGAAGCAACTGGGAACAACAGCAACTCAGCCACGAAGTGGTAGGCCACGTAAAATGACAGAGCGGGGTCAGCGCATGCTAAAGTGCACAGTGCGCAGAAGTCTCCAACAGTCTGCAGAGTCAATAGCTACAGACCTCCAAACTTCATGTGGCCTTCAGATTGGCACAACAACAGTGAGCAGAGAGCTTCATGGAATGGGTTTCCATGGCCGAGCAACTGCATCCAAGCCTTACATCACCAAGTGCAATGCAAAGCGTCGGATGCAGTGGTGTAAAGCAAGCTGCCACTGGACTCTAGAAAAGTTGAGATGTGTTCTCTGGAGTGACGAATCATGCTTCTCTGTCTGGCAATCCAATAGACGTGTCTGGGTTTGGCGGTTGCCAGAAGAACGGTACTTGCCTGACTGCATTGTGCCAAGTGTAAAGTTTTGTGGAGGGGGGATTATGGTGTGGGGTTGTTTTTCAGGGGTTGGGCTTGGCCCCTTAGTTCCAGTGAAGGGAACTCTTAAGGCATCAGCATACCAAGACATTTTGAACAATTTCATGCTCCCAACTTGGTGGGAACAGTTTGGGGATGGCCCCTACCTCTTCCAACATGACTGCGCAACATTGCACAAAGCAGGTCCATAAAGACATGGATGAGCGAGTTTGGGGTGGAGGAACTTGACTGGCCTGCAAAGAGTCCTGACCTCAACACCTTTGGGATGAATTAGAGTGGAGACTGCGAGCCAGGCCTCCTCGCCCAACATCAGTACCGGACCTCACAAATGCTCTTCTGGAAGAATGGGCAAACATTCCCATAAACACACTCCTAAACCTTGTGGACAGTCTTAGCTGTTCACAATGCAATGCAATGAAACCACAAACAAGAGGTACCCACATTGCATTATGTCATGCAGTGGAAATGTGTAACCGGCGGCATGCTATAAACCCTTGATCTGGAACCTACATTGGGGCTCTTGTAAGGTGCAGCAAGGAGCGTTTTAACTAAACAGAGCTATGTGCAAGCACTTGCTGTCGACAACCGCAGCTTATCAGGTCAGGTGTGACTGGTTTGCTTTAATCTCCACTTCACTCTTTCAGCATTTCATTATATAAGATCAAACGTGCATGTATATATAATTTCAGGAGCTTTTATAATTATTACCAAATGTTCACCAGTACTGAACTTTACAGGCAAGTGGTTTTGTTATTTCAATGATTTGATTAATCAGGGACGCATGAGAAGGCCGAATACTTATAATTAGTCAAGCCAGAGAAATGCGTAACAAGTTTATGTTTCATAAGTAGCGTTTTGTTAGCGGGCATTTCGGCACATTTAAAGGTCTTTTAATCATACTGCTACTTTGCCGAGATACTATATGAACTCTATAATTCCAAATTACTCTTGGCAATATTATACATAGTGATCAACAGTGTTGACATCACAAAAGTTGCCTGTGGTCTGCTGATAATTGCATTACCAGTAAAGGATGATAGTGTATTTTGCAGCAGAAAAAGCTCTGCCTATATTTATAAGAGGGATCTATTAAACTTCCTGCATTGTAGGGAGAAGTCTGAAAGCTATTAATTTGCCTGTGATTAGGAATATATGGTTGGCATATAATGGCCTAACGACAGATCGCTGAAAAATTTCACTTGGTGACTATCTGTTATTACATGGGAAGTGTTTTGGGCAGTAAATCTGCCTGATATATTTTTTATGCACAGATAAATCTTTACAGCATGTGTTGCAACACTCTAAAAGGTTTGAGGTAAAAAACAAAAAGAATAATGATTTCAGCGGATGCCAGAACTCATTAACCCTGTCATCGTATATTTTACAAAATATATTAATCTCATAAATGTCATTCTTGGCTCTACAATACAGACTACGACCATAGATATAAGCACGACTATTAACAATAAGAAAATTAAAATGTTTTAGTTTTGCAGGATTTTTTGCATAGATTCTGGAATTAAATTCACAAATTAAATCTGTCATTCGTATAAGTAAAATTATGCAATGCCACTTTTAGCCAATTATAAGAAAGGAAGTTCAACTACAGAATTCACTATTCTGTCTCTCTGTCACAGCTATTACGAAGCCAACCGATAATGTCTTAATGTACACATTCTGATTAAGGAATCTCTGGACAATCGCCTTTAGATCTACCAGCATTCATGTAGCATGAAAGCCTACATGGACAGTCAATTTACTGTATCTCTAATTAAGTAGGCCCTAACACTACAGAATTGTTGGTAAATCTTAAAAAGATTGTAAAATTAGATTACAACATGTGTGTCCAGCATATTTCCAATACACTTTGAATAATGTAGAAAACAATTATAATGGGCAGTCTGGCTGACAGGGAGTGCTAACTTTAAAACCATGTGGGAAAGAAGTAACACAAAATACAGATGCGGTTTTTTCCAGCCGAAGTCCTTAAGAATGTAATGTTATGTAAACCTGGGAATTGCCCACTTTTAGGTCAGGTGACAAAAGGGAGGCATTCTTCAAACTGTGTTCCTGGTCTGTATTATCTAAGTGGTGTCAGGCAATGAGCGGCTTCTTCACTCTCTGTTCGACCAACACTGACATTTGACCTGAAAGTGAAGGGGTTGTTTGCTGCCTGACCCCAGTTGCATATTGAACCATAACATAATTTAAGGGTATTGAAAAATAGGCAAGGCACCAGTAATATATTATGGCAGATACATTCATGCATTGCACCACTTCAGTATTTGGATGCTTGAATAAAAAAACATTGTAACTTACATGTATCCGGTTTAAGATGGCTATTGGTAATTCCAAAATACTGGGGATTTTCAATGACGGGGATCTTTGTCATACCAATTATTACTGCATCAGGACCTCCTTCTGAAGAAGATGGTGTGTTGCTACCATTTGAAATATGGTGCAGAGGGCTGGCTGAATCGTCATCATTACTGATCACAGAAGAGGGACCTTGAAGAGGAAAAACAAACTCTGTTACTTAACAATAATTCAACAAGCATAGATACACCAGCAAATGATTACAGGATAACTTCTAGCAGGCCTGATTAGTGAGCATGGTACACCTAGCCTAGGACTAGGTTGGCAAGCCCCTACATAAAAATATCAAAAATCAAGATTAGTCTGCAACAGTTTCATTTGCACTTAAGGCAATAATGGCAGGTATACTGTGTTCCATTACTGAGTTTCAAAAGGTGTGTAATACAACCTGCCACTACTGCAGCTCTTGTTTTACTTTTCATAAAATAAATATCACCCAGGCCTTTGCTGTAGCTAAGGGGGTGGCTTGTTGGGGTCCTGGTTTAATTATTAGGAGCACGGATTATCTACTGTTTGCATGCGGTCAACAAATAATAAGAACATTTTTGTTCAAACTACTGATCTTGCAAGAGTTAAAAAAGGGTTGGCCAAGTTTGCAACCAATGCTGCCATGTTAATATAAAAAATAAAAAAAAAGATGTGTGAGAGAATGCTTCCACTCTCTTATATAGAAATTAGCAAATGAAATGAATAAAATACCCCATGGATATCCTTTATAATGTACCCAATGTATATGGAAACTGTAGAAACATTTTAAAACTTAGCTCTGCACTCCTTTCCTTTGTGTTATAGCACAGGAATTATGTAGAATTTTCTGCCCTGTGCATAAATGTGTACCAGACCAACATTATTGTGCTTATTGATGTCAAGATCAAAACGAAAGATCAAGTAGAAGTCAGGTCTTAAAAATGTAATCTCATGTCTCTGGGAAGCCCTACAGTTAAAGGTTTCTCCAGTCTCCTCCACATATATTCATTGTTCGTGCACAACCTGCTTGTGTCCTGGTAAGAATCAGATGGAGGCCGCAGCCAGGTAGTTTAATGCAATGAAGTGTTTTAAAATGGGCATTATGCCTACATTATTTTCTTTGGATTTCTAAGATATCGTTCTTTGAACCAGATTTTCAATTTTTTAATGCAAGGAAGGTATTTGGAAAAAGAAGTTTCCAAATACCAAAGGTTCCTTGTGCTTACTTTATTTTAATTTAAAATACGTGTTCTAGGTGTAAACTGTATTCCAAAACCATTATGATAAAAACTCTCTGTCTCTCTAGCCATTCACTGGTATCTTAGCTTTACTTGTGGTGTACCATCCAGACCCTCAAATATGGAATCACCCTGCTGTACTTAAAAATAAATAATTAAATAAAAATGTATTGAAACGGAAAAACCCTCTGCCTTCTACCTGCCTGTAGATATAACAGACTGGTTCTATAAATTAACATCTGTAAAAATAATCACTGGCGCAAGTAAGCTAAACACACAGGAACAGAGTTGCTCTAAGGAATAATTGAATGCAGCCTAACTCCCTTGCCTGCAAGTGCCTAGGGATTAAGAGGTAAAATAGGTAAAGTTTTAGTAGTGTGTGCCTTCCCATTGGGAAAGCCAGGTAAGTGCATAACATGCTGAGATTAGGCAGGGATGCTTAATTTCATGTGACAACTGTAATGATCAATGTAAGGGTCCAGCATCACTTGATGTGACGTAGCTATAGAGACATATTACATGTAAGCTAACAATGTGATCTGGGTTATCATAGGTCTTAACATATAGTGGAGTAAGGTTCAGATTTTCAATGGAATGCACAGTATTTATGTTTTGTGAACCTTTAATTTCTCCATAAATAGTCGAGATAGTACGTTTACTTTGTACACAATCATGAATGAAAAGGAAGTGATGTAGATCACTTCCCATTCCTTCATAATTGCGAACACAATGAACATACCATGTCCTCAATTATTTACAAACACTCAACAATCACTGATCGCTGAGTGTTTGTACCAGCTCTTCATCCTGACACGCTGTCACTGCCCACACACCGCTCTCCTGATCTGTCACAGGAGGTTGAGCGGGGCGGTGCAGGAGGAAAGCCTGGCCTCTTGTGACACGCCGGCGCTCACATCGCTCTCCCCCTCCGCACTGCTCATCCTTTTGGGACAGTTTCTCTCCTCCTCGCTGAACACTGTGCTGTGTCAGAGGGGACACAAAGCAGCGCCCAGTGGGAAGGAGAGTAACCAGGCATGCAATGCAATTTCAGACGAAAAGATGGCACTTTCTGCATTTCGCCAAAAGTGCCATTTCTGGCTGATATGTTCCAGCAGTCGAAATTTCGGTGATCCCTAATAAAAACCCAACAGAGGTTCTAACCCTTTGTCACTCTGTCCAAAACTTGAAAAAAATTGGCCTATACATACTGGTTATTTAAAGTCGAGGTCCACAGACCATGCACATCCAAGTGCCTACTTGCATTCCTCATGGCTTGCCTCATCCTGCTATCCTATTTAATGTTAAACTTAAAAAATAAGTTTTGGCTTCATATACACCTTAAGAATTTCTAAAACTTGAATGTCTATAGCATGGCCACAAATTAACATTAATTAGACACTCACGGTTTTGGTACAATTTTCTGTAATTCCCAAAATATGATATAACTGCAAAGATACAGCCAACAATTTGCATATCACAATAGAAGAACTCTGAATAACCAAACATGTGTAATGAATAAGGAAAAAGAATAAAACATAACTCAAATAAATGTAACTATAGATTGCAAATGGTTGCTGTGGAAACATTTTGCTTCCTGCTTGGTCTGTCATGTCTGAACTCTATGCGGTCAATGACTACATCAGCTTTCAGCAAAGCTTTTGATAAATAGACCCAATCATGACGCACGCTGTTAAATGCTTGCTTATTTGACAAATTAGCTGTTTTACATGAAATCGCCTAAATTCCATTCCCTTAATGCACCAACTAAATCACATTACAGCCACGGACATGTAGATGATGCTAGCTGTGGAGCAGCATACTCAGGATTCACAAATGAGAAAACAATTTTCTGAAATGTAATTTTAAAAAAGCAGTTTTCTGCTGACAAGCAGCCGTGGCATGCCCTCTCATGAATCATGCAGGCTCTGGAAAAAGTGCAAAATCTCTGTTTACGCTGATTAAATGAGGTCACCTAATTACTTGTCACAATGATCTAAGTTGTCAGATTTTGACACCTATTATTGACTGTCCTATGTCAAGCAAGTCATTCCTGTGACTGGAAATATTCATAGTATCTCTTGAGTTTGTATGTACTATAGTAGTTTTTGTTCTTAGTTAAAATTTTAGACTGAACATTAAGGTGACCCTTTCTATTTATTATGCAGGGCAACATGAAAGGCTCACTTAGCCCCTCCCATTCCCAGCAACATATACTCACGCGCTGCTCCTTTTGGCAGCTAGGACTGGGGAAAGAAAGCCTAAACTGATTGTGTGAGTTCCAAACTGATTTTCTGAAGCTCTCACAAGGCTCTCACAACTCTATCCTATGTGACAGCATTGTGCCAATCAAGAGGATTTATCACTGTCACATGGTTAAATAGAGCAGTGGGCAAGTTAAGGAATAGTTAGTACAAGCTGCTGGGTGCCCTGTATGGGTAGAGCTTTTATTTCCAGCTTCCTCTCATATCCAACACCCCAATATCTATTAGATATGTACATTTCGTTTAGTTTCTAAATGGATATTCTTACAAATTTTGTTAAATTTGGACATTTAGATGCATCAGAATTTCTGAACTCCAACACGTCCAAATGCTCTGAACCACAATGGTCGTTTAAAAGAAATTCGGATCTGTCTGAATTTCGTTTAAAATTAAACTAAATCAGACATGTGACTGTTTTCTGGCCAATCTGATCATTTTTTTGGCTGTTGGGGCTTGCATTACAGACACGGTCATGTGACTTCCTGATGTGGGTCGTTCCAGAACGAAAATTCGGAAGGATTCGAAATCCGAATAAAAAAACAAATCAGATTTCAGATCCGAAATCCGAAAAATGAAAGAAATAAAAACCTGAATAGTTCTGAAACTAAACACATTTTTTGCGGGGTTACATGTCTAATGTCTTATCTATCTATCTATCTATCTATCTATCTATCTATCTATCTATCTATCTATCTATTCTGGAAAAAATATTAATATATTTGATCAGGTTCTGTTTTGCCTCTTCCTGCCTTCTTACTGATCAGTGAATCTGGAGGCTCATTGCATTAGGAGACCAATTGGAAGAATACTAAGAATATTGCATAAAAGAGCTCTACAGTTTTGGGGGTTGCAGGATGCGAGAGATAAATCATTTATAAATTTATAGAGGAAACCGTATTAGTATGGAACAGCAACCAATTAAATGTTGCAATAATTGTGCACTTACAAAAAATACCTTCTGCGCTTATGAGGTGAAAAAGTACACAATGTTCTGTCTAACCATTCTTAAGGATAGTTTATATACAACAATTAGTACATCACTTCCGCCGACGACACGTCGCACTGACACTTACGCGCAAGGTCGGAAGTCGATCGCCGGTCCGTCGTAAGTGCGAGTGGTCGCAAAGCAGGTAAGTCATTAATCGAGGAATGTCTGTATATAACTTTATATTTGTTTTATAGTTCTCTATATCTTATTTGTTCATGGTAAATGTCACCCAAATTTAAACATATTCGGTCAATACCATGCCTATTATGTGAAGTCCCACCTTTTACATGGCCAAAATCAGAACTAATTTCCAAAATAGGTAAATAAATAAAAACGTTAGGGCTGGTAATGATTAAAATTTTCCTGTTCGATTAATCGAAAATGTTTTTAATCGATTAATCGATTAATTTCGATTAATTATAACGCACATACAGATCCAACTACATTGGCCTATACACATACAGCACAGCAATGAAGTAATAAAATAAACTAGGATCACACTAATCCAGCGCGTTATTAATCTCACGTGCCCCACTCAATATGGCCGCCGCTTGAGTGGGGCAACTCAGAATGCCAGTGCCAGTGATCCCAACCTGAAATAAGCAATTTCAGGGAGGTGTCCCTCTCATTTCAGGGAGGCGCCCTCTCCCCCCCCCCCATCCGCGGAGGGGGGGTTAA